ATTGATCCACGTTGATGTTGGAACACGTGTCTGGAATGTACAAGACGCTCCATTTGCAATTGTGAGTATGTTGTCTTGTAATGTCAATGCTATTCCATTGTGTCCGGAAGGTGAAACTACATCCAAAATAGTATAATTTCCTTTGGGGAGATATGCCCATAGAAAAATGGTGAAAGGGGGGGCGGGTACCCATGCATAGTTTTTGATGTTCGCAACACCACTTGATAAGTCGAAAGAAAGTCCACCCGCAGCCTCCCCTGAGGACATTTGGCTCAACGTTTCGAGGAGGTCTTGTGAGCAATTTTTAGTGTTGAGAAGTGCCAAAAATTTCATTAACGTTCTTGGACGTATTGCGTAATTTCCTAGTCGTGAAATGAACGGTAAAAAATCATGTGGGATATTACCTGAAAAGTATGTGAAAATGGAATCCAACAAATCAATTTGATGAGCTTTGTATAAAGAAAGTTGAGAATTGAATGACGTGGTTATATTTGAGAGAAGTATTTTCTCTTCAGCTTCTTTAGTCTTGTGGGATGGACGGAGGTAACTTGGGAACAAGTAATTGTTTAACGTGTCCATTGATATTAAAGTTTTTTTTCAAAAAAAAATTCATTCTATTGAAATTCGAAAAAGTTGGTAAAAAACATTCTTCACTTTTGGGTGTTTTTTATAATTATTTTTTTTAATCAATTGTAATTAATAGTTATTTGTTATTTTATTAATTTTTAATAAATAGAACAAAATAAAAAACAAAAGTGCTTCTTTCATTTTTTGAAAAAAATATTTGGTCGTGTTTTTGTTAGGCAATTAGTTGTCCTATTTCTGGGGTTTTTGATCAAAATTTTTATTTAACTATTTTCCAAAAAAATTATTATTTATAGTTATATATGTTTAATATAATAAATAATAATATTTATTATTGTTTAATAATATATATACTTTTATAGAAAATAATTTTTATATTAACTATATCAAACAAATTATAGTTATTATTTATTAAACTATATCTTAATAGTAAAATTAAACCATTTAAATAATTATATTAATATTAGTAAATTTAGCTTTGTAATAACCCGTGATGAATAATAAAATAATAATATATTTTGAATTATAATACAGTCAAAGTTTGTTTAGAAAGGATATAATTATTATTGGTTAGGATTTGTTTTTTCTAAAATGGGTATAATTTTTAATAAAATGGATACGATTTTTTTGAGAAATGATTTGATTATCCGAAAAGGGTATATTTCCCAATAAAATGGATTAAAATCAATTAAATGGGATCGGATTATTTATAAAAAGGATTTGTTTTCTTATAAAAGGACGCAATTCCTAATAATTGAGACGCTATTTCTTTAAAATGGATATATTTTCGATTAATGGGATTGAATTCTTTATAAAAAGTATAGAATTTTTTAAATTTGGACAGAATTTCCCAAAAAAGGATGTATTTACTGAAAGATTGGGCAAATTTACGTTGAAAAAGGATTGAATTCTTTATAAGTTATTGTGTTTTTACAGTCTTTTAAAACAATTCAAAAATTAACAAAAATAACGTACTAAAAATTTAATAATTTATACTAAATATTATAGTATTATTTAACAAATTTCATAAAAAAAACTCAATGAAAAAATAATTCTTGAAACATTATTCACAAATCAAATATAAAAATAAACATTTTAAACATAATAATCAGAACAATGAGTCGATTAGATTATGTTGATACTCGTGATCCAGAATCTCGTATAACCTACACACAAAACGCCCCAGAACCTTTACAGGGTACCTCGGTACAACAGGTACCAATTACTTATCAGGAATTGCCTCCTTTACCAAAAAGAAAAAGAGGAAGACCGAAAAAGACACAATTATTAAACACTTCTGCGACACTTCCTACATCATCCACATCAAATCTTTCCTACAAGAAGAGAGTGTACACACGAATAACTAACCAAATTAGAAACAAACTTATCGAAATGTGGAAAGAACATGGAGACTTTTGGTTATCGGGAAAGTATTCAGAAGAAGTTGGTATCAAGAAAAAATATGTTGAAAATATGTTAGTAAAACTAAGAGCTGGCAAATCTATTTACCCCAAGAACCATTATTATAGAAAAAGTAGTACACTTCCTTTTCAACATCTTGTTGAAAATGCAATCATAAGAGACAGCACGATAACAATCGATGAAATCCGCGAGACGATTGCACAGGAAGAAAAACTTAGGATGCAAAGAGGACAGGAAGAAATTATACTGAATTTTGAAAACATCGACAATACCATGATTTCAGATGAAGAGCTTGATAATTACGCGCCTTCCAAATCTTCGATTGCCAAATTTATGAGTGGACAAACAGCCAAAAACGAGGAACGAGAAGTCCCGATATTTTCGTTTAAACGAGTAAAAAATAGAGGAGTGTCGGCCAACACAACAGATAACAAAACAAAAAAATTGAAGCAGTTAATCAACTTCGTAGTTATATATCCGGCGGAGCAAAATGGGTCTGTGTCGATGAGACAAGTTGGAGAGTTGGTACAACAGCAGCTTATGGATGGGCAGCACGAGGAAAAGAATGTTTTGTAACCAAAGCAAAAGGAGGAGTGAGGCTGACGTCGATATGTGCTTTGGACTGTGATGGCTTTTCGTATTGCAATTTGACTTTTGGCACTAACACAATCGAATCATTCAAAACATATTTCAAATATCTCGAACATGAATATGATTTAAAGGGGCGTCGATGTGTTTTTTGGTGCGACAACTGCGATATACATAATTGTATTCAAAGAGTGCTCGAAGGAACGGGTCATGTCGTAGTTTTTAATGCGGCGTATTCACCTGCACTGAATCCTATAGAAAATGTCTTTGGGCTGTGGAAACGCAGAGTAGAAAAAAATATCAGAATTTGGAGAAGTGTTCAAGATTTGCTCGACAAAATAACAGAAGGATTCAAATCGATAAACAGTGAAGAAGCACAAGCAACATTTGAAAAGGTTAGAGAGGAAATATGGCCCAAAGTTTTCAACCGAGAAGATATTTAATTTTTCATTGAGTTTTTTTTATGAAATTTGTTAAATAATACTATAATATTTAGTATAAATTATTAAATTTTTAGTACGTTATTTTTGTTAATTTTTGAATTGTTTTAAAAGACTGTAAAAACACAATAACTTATAAAGAATTCAATCCTTTTTCAACGTAAATTTGCCCAATCTTTCAGTAAATACATCCTTTTTTGGGAAATTCTGTCCAAATTTAAAAAATTCTATACTTTTTATAAAGAATTCAATCCCATTAATCGAAAATATATCCATTTTAAAGAAATAGCGTCTCAATTATTAGGAATTGCGTCCTTTTATAAGAAAACAAATCCTTTTTATAAATAATCCGATCCCATTTAATTGATTTTAATCCATTTTATTGGGAAATATACCCTTTTCGGATAATCAAATCATTTCTCAAAAAAATCGTAGAGTCAGTCTTTTAACGTTATCTGGTCTCAAACGTTATCTGGTGGACAAAAAATAGCTTCATTTTTGTCTAAACATCGGGCATTAGGTAAAGCGTGAAAAAACCCGAAACAATTGGGATGGATTTTTGGGACTGCTCCCCGAATTATTCCATTTATTATGGTCCAAAAGGCACCAGATAACGTTTGAGACCAGATAACGTTAAAAGACAGACTGTATCCATTTTATTAAAAATTATACCCATTTTAGAAAAAACAAATCCTAACCAATAATAATTATATCCTTTCTAAACAAACTTTGACTGTAACTAATAATTTAAACCAAATAAATTGTTCAAAGTCATAAAAAAAGAAAAGTTGGTAATGTTAAAAAAAAGTCTATCAAAGCGTAGTTTCTAAAAAAAATGATAAAAATATATTCTTATTATTTTGTTATTTATATTACTATTAAAATACTTATAAAAACAGGATTATTGATACAAATTCTTAACTTAAAACTTATTTGTAAATTTTAGTTACTCTGGTCAAAGTCCACATTATTAGTTGAGACTTTTCAGACCACAATTCCAATCAAATTAAAAACCGAAGTGGACTTCTTTGAAAATTCCAAAGAAATATTTTTGATTATTGCAAATAAGAATTTGAGAGCCTATAAAAAGGTTGTTGACTTCTTTTTCATTCAACCAGTGTAATGGGCTGCTGCTTGTCTAAAAAGTCGAATAAAGTCACCGAGAGCACACCTCTGAATGACCAGAAGACTACCCCCAACACAGAAACTGTTCCAGCGCAGACCACCACAACATATCAAGGTATTGACAACACCAAACAAGATGCTCCAAAAGAACAAAAGCAAGCTGAAGGCACACACACTCCACAACCAAAAGGTGACGCACCAGTCATTGAAGATAGACCCAATGGCAAGAAAGAAGTAGTCTCTGGTGATAAAAGTATATTACTTGATGAGATTTATGCAAAACACTACGGCAAAGTTGATAAAAAGCATGACGCAGTTGAAGAAGCCAAAAAGGCGTGGTTAGCCTCCAAAGAGTCCAAATCCCCGGACACCCAAGAAAAGCACGACGCCTTCCAAAACCTCAAAAAGGAATTTGAAGATTCGAAACTTGAAGCCCACCGTGGTGCTTTCAATGAAGTTCAAATTTATATGAATGAAGAAGACACCATTGATCTTCATGGACTTCAAATAGAAGGTGCTATTTTGATGATGAAAGAACAAATAGAACAACGCAAGTCACAAGGCAAAAAGGTCTTAAAACTTCAATGTGGGATGGGTCATCATAACACTGTAGGTTTTTCTAAAATCAAAGAAGAAGTCGTCAAACAACTCCAAGAAATGAAGATAACTTACACTGAAGAAGCTGATCACGGCTTAGTCATTGCCAACTTGTAAGACATTGAATCGATTCGATTTTATTATACCATTATAATTCTTTTACTATAATTTATCATAAATTAAGACAACACAAATATTTATTACACAGCAGAAGTACAGCATCACATTCTCAACAGCCGCATTAAAGAGTCGATGACTTCGTCATTGTGGACGTACTCGTATTTATTCAGTTGTGCGGTGTTAATCAATTTCAAGAATTCAGAGAGACTTCTGATTTTGGCCAAGTTCAAGTATTTTTTGTCGGGGAGAATGAACGTGTCCATCTCATTGATGTTGACAACGTCGTGCATCCAAAGCGACAAAATTGGTATTTTCGGGAATGGGCGCATCTCAAATAAAACTCTGTAGTTATTATGGTTCTTACTTATTGAAAACGTGTCTTGGAGTTTCTCGTATATTTGAATGTATTTCTTGTCGACTTTCTAGTTGTAAATAATAGTATATTATTATTATTCATTTATTATTGCATTATAGTATAGTAATAATACTAGAGTACTAGTGTAGTATAGTATTATTACCATATAATATTACTATTATTATTAATAGTATTATTACTATACATTAAACTATAACAAACTTCCCATATAGCAGCACATGTTGTTGATGAACGAGACAAGACTGAATAGATGATAAACGCGATATTAAAGTCGTTTTCGTCGTAACACTCTTTGGCGACTTTAATCGCCTTTTCTACGTCTTCTTTCTTTGGTTCGGAACATAAGATGTCGACCATGATATCTTCAAAACACCGAAGCCCTTTGATATACCGTTCGAGACTCCCTTCTTCATTCCGAAGATACATGTCATACTTCATGACTTGACATAACCCAGTCTGGTCAAATAGAATCACCTGTTGCGCAAAGACTTTCTTATCCATATCGAAAAACGCCTTTTTGACGGTCGATATGATCCGATTGATCTCTTCGACGTTCTTAAGAGTGATTCGGGATCTCACTATACTTGCGCGCTTCTGGTCAAAAAGTGATTCGACGTGTTTGTTAGTGTAAGGACTCATTTTCGATAAACTTGTTCTTGGCTCTGCGTATTTCTTTAGTGTCTCCGTCAACTCGCCTTTGAACTTCTGCGTCATTAAAGTGCTTCGAACTAACACGGCTTTGACTCTTTCAAACAAATAGGCGCATTGCTCTCGTATTGCGTTGCCCATGATATCAAGCCAAGTCATGATCATCTTTTCGTATCGGTTCACTCCAAACGCAATCCACTCTTTCGTCACTCTCATGTCTTTCGAGTCCTTTTCCAGTTGGTCCAGTACCTTCACAAAACTTTCAAAAGTAGTTGGGAAGTCTGCAATGTAAGGAGTGAACTGGATGTAATCCTCTAAGAACTGTCCAAACTGATTGATACGACTAAACACTATTTGTAACATGACTTCGTTGCTACAATGTGTGATGACCAACGTTCTTCCACTTACAATATAAAATGGTTCTCTTGATTGGAGCTATATGTAAGTTATATTATTCTTATTATTATATTATATAATAATAGTTAATGTAGTATAGTTATAATATCAATTAATTAATTATTTAATTGATTATTTGCAATAATTGAGTAATTATTATTAATTAACTAATAGTTTATGATATTACAATTGCAAAAGTCCAACAACAAACATCAAAAACGTCTTGTTCCTTATTCTTACACAAATCTAAGAAACACCCAATTCGAAGTAACAAGTCGATAGACATTGTCCTCACAAACCCACCACAAACCATCACTCGACATATCATCTGCATGAAATTTTCATTTGCATCTCGCAGCCTTTTAAGATATTTAACAAAGCATCGGAGTAACTCGCAGTGTGTGACTTCCATTGCGTGGACACAAATTCTGCACTCGACAACGTCCGACTCTGTGTATGGTATTTTAACTCTCCCGCACCGTGTCTCGTCCTCGAAGATATAAATTGAGTGTGTGAAGCATTTCAAAAGCAGTTTCCCAAATTTGGTCGACATCTCTTTTTCACTCTTCGACTGTTTCCACGCGTCGGAGGACGGGATGATTTCCTTCATTAGGACGTCGACATCATTTTCCATGACACTTTCATTGATGAATTTTTCTTCGACGACTTCATGTGCCAAATCGAGCACATGGGTGGGTATACAGTCTGTTAACCCCACTGATTCGATGTCGACTCGTGTTCTAAAATTAGTTGATGTTTTTATCATGTCAGTCAATTTTTTGATTGTGTTTCTTCGTTTTGGTGTTGGTTGTTGTTCTGTTGTGTCTGTTTCTAAGAATAAGTCGGGCGAATTTTTGATTTTGTCTGGAGACCCTTTCGACTGGGAAATGGTCCTCTGACGCTTTTTATAGAGCGGAGAAAGTGTGGGCATGGTCCCATCTTGGCCTATAGAGTTTGAACGTTGTGGAGAATTTATTTGGATACTCATCGCTGTTATTTACAGTTCATTATCAAATAAAGAGGAAATTCAAATGATAAAATGCGAAGAAAGTATATTGGAAATACAGAGGATAAAATCGGTGACGGAAATCGTGAATTAAAATCAAAATTTATTTTTCTTTTATTTTATTGTAAAATTGGTTAAAATAGTGGTCTTTTTGAAAAGAAGAATATTTTATGTTTTGTTTTTTATAATTTTTGTCGTTTCAAGGGTTATTATTAATTCATTGGGCTTACTAAGAAGTATAATTAATGTATAAATTTATAATAAATGAAAAGTGAAAAATTAAAAATATTTTTAATGATAGTCTATTAATAGTGACAAGTTTGTCAACAACTCTAAATTGTATAATTGAGTTTATTATATTGAGTTCAATCAACAATCTATTATTAAATAGATCTTTATAAGCGTTAATTTAATTATATATAATCAATTATAATTATATAGTAATATTACTAATAATATATGTATATTTTATTTGTTTGAAATTAAAAAATAATTTTTTTGATAAAACTAAAATTAATTATTTTATTTTTGATTTGTAATTATTTAATTAAATTATGAAAAACACATAGTTTTTTTTTAATTAAACAGACATAGTTTATCTATAAACGTAATCAAGGAAATTCGAGACTATTAACACTAGAATATTTAAGGAATTTGTTCGAAACACTTCCAAAACACCGTTTCATAATTATTACCATATTTTTGTGGTAAATATAATAATAATTTAATTAAATAATATAATAAAATAAAAAGTCAATAACATATAGTTTAACATATAGTGTGGTATTAATATGTTTATATTATATTTAATTATAAAAGTATTATAATAAAAATCTATTAATAAAAAAGTAATTTTTATTATTCATTTGTTGATAAATAAGATACAATAATATATTCCAACTTTGTTATATCAAAGTATATTTAATTAATTACCTGCGTTTTTTATATGTTTTTTTAATTTTACGTTTGCATTAATGATACTCGAAAACGATGTGAAGTGTGTAATAATTACTTAACCGAAAGATGCCACCTTTTTTGTTAAACAAACTTTTTATTATATTCTATACAATAAGTCACTGTATATTGGTCTTGTTTTTTTATCACTAATACACACTGAAGATAATGCTTATAAATAACATAATTGATGACGATTAATTAATTCTGAAACTCTCCAATGTTTTGAAAAATCAAAAGAAAATCGCAAGAAAACCCGAATTAAGCTTTAGAAATACTCCTTTATTAATTCATTAAAATTGAATAATCTAAAATAAGCACATTTTTAAAAAACTGAAAAACAACAGAGGTTGACAATGTTATCCAAAAAGATTCTGAAAAATCGTGAGTCGCGTGACATTTACATTGATTACCAATGCGTCCTCATGGTGTTACTGACTTCAGACACGAGTTTTCTTATTTCAAAACCGCAGAAATGGTCTATTACTTCAAAGAGTTTTATTAAAATACGAACGTTGACAATTTACGAAAAACATTCAGGAGAGATATGGGAATTTCCATTACAAAAATTTATTAAAGACCGTTCACAACAAAAGGTATTTGATTTGCTTAAAGAGGGTTATTCAAAGAAGACTGCAACACGGCGAGTGACTTATGAACGGATGCGAGAAGGTATTCATTATTTAGAGGATATGTTACTTTTCAAAGGATTTAAAATGGAGAATGACGGGGAGAACAGATTTGGGTTTACTGGGAATGTTAAAATTACTTTCCCTGATGGGAGAGTGATGACTGAGAAGAATATCAGAACTGTTGGAAACATAATATGGGAATATTTCAGAGATAAACTCAATAAAAAACAGGAGTATGTTATTGATAAAAACGAACTTATAAAACTACAAGGTGACCTTCTAGCCATCGTTCTATAATTTCATTCTTTATGTGTTTATTATTTTTGATAATATAGAACACGACTACAACACTTACTTTTCATTTATATATTATAATCTACAAATAAAAAGTATATAAATGACACATTTTATGTATTAAACATATGTAAAGTCTATATACAAATTACAACTCAAAACGAATAGAACTACTTAAAATCCACAAAGAACATTTGAAATCCAAAAAATCACTTAAATATTGTCAGTTTTCTCGTACGAAGTGTTCGAAAAGTTGATGTGCAATATATGTGGGTGGTACAGTATAAAGTCCCTCAGGTTTCTCTTGTTTAGACTGTAAAATTGCTCTTCTGACTTGTGCCTCATCGACCCAAAATGCCTCGTCGAGTTCCTTTCCAGGTTCTTTGTCTATATTTGTGTTGATAGCAGTGGCTTCACACCCGATCATGATTTGATTAGCCGCATTAATCGGATATGCCGATGAAGTCACATACTTCACATCTTTCACGTGAATTTGAACTTCTTCCCAAACCTCTCGTTCAACGCACTTTTCAATTGACTCTCCGACCTCTAAGAAGCCTGCGACGCATGTATACCTATTGACTGGCATGATACTCTTTCTGACAAACAAACACTTTCTCTCAGTAGGGTGTTTGACAACGACAATGATACACGGATCTGTTCGTGGAAAGCACATATTGTGACAATTGCCACATGTGAAGTGTGTTCCGTAGCCCGCATAATGCATTTGAATGCCACATCTTGGACAGAATGAATATTGTTGATTGAATTTGACAAGTGAATATCCATACCCCGCTATGTCACCAACTTCCGTCGCCAATTTCATCACATCACGAATTTTAATGGAAGTCACTTTGGGAGGATTTTTGAAGACAACTGCTATGTAGTGGCTCTTCTCGGTTGTACCCATATAGATGAGGAGAGTGTATCCAAACACTTTGACATCACTTTCAGTGAAAAACGGCGTTTTGTTTTCTTTCAATAGAATTTCGGAGTCGGAGTAGCCCACAAAAATCAACTCTTTGTGCGTGTTATTTAATGCGGAAATTAAAGAAGACATCTCTGAAGACTTTTCTGACTCGCGAATAGAGTCAAGACGCTCCATGTGACATTGAGTGAAATTCATTGGAATGAACATGGAGTTTGGTTCAATATTTTAATATTAAAATTGCTTTCCCAATTTTGCATCAAATAAATTAATTTGTTAATTTAAATAGAATTGTATATTACTAATTTATAATTTATTAATAATAAAAACACTTTCGGTATGACCATGTTTTTCGAAAATCGGTTTAACTTGTTCTACTTTGATTTTTTTTTTGTTTTCACAACACGAAAATAATTTTTAAAATGATATTTTTAACTAATATTATAGTTGTTTTGTTTTTCGAAGTTTTTAAAAGTCGATTTGGTTTCTGGTTGAAGTATTTGTAAATTCAAAAAGTAGACAAACCATACGATAGATAACAAATTTCCGTGACGTTTGTAATGATGCAAAAATACTTATTATTTAGTATTTTTAATAATTAAGTTTATTATAATTCCTCAACTATAAAAATTATTTATATAAAAGATAATTAATAACATTAAATTATAAACAAAATTATTTTTTTACTATCAATCAGTCTAGAACAAAATTGTGTTTCTAGACAAAAAATTTTGAGAAAAACAAATTCAACTGATTGTCATCTTTTAATAATTGAATTTTATAATTTATATAAGATTTATTATTTTAATGTTTTCTTATAATATTTATAATATTTATATAATATAATTATTACATACAAATTATTATAAATGATTAGTTGAACAACAACAAACACATTGTTTATCCTAATTGTTATTTTTTGAATGTTTTAAAGTTTTTTCTTCTTGGGTGTGTTGTTGGTCTTGTGTATAATAATTTTCCACAAAATGGAAAGAATCTATTTCCATTTCCACAGAAGAAATATCTGTTATTTTAATGTTATTTTCATTGATAGAATTAGAGAAGCAAAACCTCCCAATTGATTTGATATTCTTTCCAATCTCCACAGACAATTTATCATCTTTATACCCAAAGAAACAACACTCATCTAAATGTGTTACACTTTGAGGTATTTGTCCATTTCGTTTGCCATCTTCATTAGTAATTATTAAATATGGTTTCACATCTTTTCTTGTGAAGAAAACATTAATAAAATGAGTTTCTTTTGTTTCCAAAAGTTGCGACACTTCATAACTGACTGGAAACGAAATTTGACTCAAATGCTCTTGTCCTACAATAAATGTTGACAATTTCAAACACCCACTGAACGCACTTTTTGAGATGTTTTGAATGCTTTCGCCACACTTGAAACAAGTCAAATTCACACAATTTTTGAACGCATAACTCCCGATAAAGGTGACTGCTTCGGGAATGCTAATTGAATTCAAATTTATACAATTTTCAAAGGCGTGTCCACCAATACACTCCAAGTTCTTACCAATACAAATTTCACACAACGACGAGCAATTTAAAAATGAAAAATTTCCGATGGAAATAACAGCATTAGGCAATATTAACTTCTCAAGAGATCCCATCCCACAAAAGCCATAACTCTCTAATTTGGTGATGTTCTTTGGAATGTCAAAAGTTTTGAGATTAGAGCATTGCACATACGTCGAATTGAAAATTTCGTTGTCACACGTACTTTCTAAAATGACAACAGAAACAAGCGATGTACACCCAAGAAACACCCGCGGCTCAGTGTACACACACTTCGGAACAAACACATTTTTGAGCGACACACAACCAGAAAAGGCTTCGTGGCCAACATACGTGACTCCATTAGGAATGCACATCAAAGTCAGCGAAGAACATTCTGAAAATGCCTCATGCCCAATTGATTTTAAATTGACTGGGAGTCGAATTGTGTCGAGGGAATAACAATTTTTGAAACACAACGACTCAATTTGTGTTATTGTTGGCGGCAAGTCAATTGTTTTCAAATAGTGAAAATCACTGAAGCACTTTTCCCCAAGAATTTGGAAGAAATCGGGCACAGCGAAGGTATCAAATTCGTCAAAAGAATCGTTTTCGTGGTCTTTTCTTGCATTAAACGAGACTTTTTCTTTGTTATCTATTTGGATGACATTCACTATTTTAACACCAAACTTTTCAAGAATAGTTTTGTCTGATATTGTTACAAAAGCGTCAAATCCTTTTTTGTTATTACAACTAATGGACTTTAGTTTAGAGCAAAGTGAAAAAACGTTTGTGCCCAAATGAGTCAACGTTGATGGCAAAGTGATTGCCTCAACATCTTCTCCAAAACAACAATTTCCAATTTCTCGAACATTTCCTAAGTCTATTTTTTTAATTCCCTTATCAAAAAAGTTGTTACCTATTTTTGTTACGTTATTTGGAATGATATATTTCATGTTTTTCTTCCCAATGATCGGGCATTTGCCTCTAATTTCTATAGTACACGTATTAATGTGTTCTTCATTAATAAACTCTAATAACTCTGTTTCTTCTTCAGGAAGTGTTACAACGATTGTAACTATATGATACTTACATTTTTCTATAATTTTGGCTTCTTTTGCAGTCACTTTAAATGCAATTTTTCTGTTTATATTTGGAAGTTCAAATGATGTTAAAGAGGAACATCCAGTAATACTATTTTCTTCAAAAATCATCAAATTTTTTAAATCGAGTTTTTGGAGCAGCACACAATTAGCAAAACAACCACTTTGTATTTTCGTGATATTAAAAGTCTTAAAAACGTTTCTTAAGCATCGCATGTTCTTAAAAGTGTCTTTAGGTATTACATTAAAAAGTGGTGATAAGACCACTTCCTCCAAATTGCTCATTCCATAAAACATGTGTTGGTCCAATCGAGTTGTATCTTCGCCAATATACGCCACCTTAATTTTGTGTGCCTCTTTGCCTTCGTATTCATCAAAAGTCCCAAACCCATTTTCGTCGTCTTGGCAGAAAACAACTCGATACTTCAAATCTTTCAGATCGCAAACACTTTTGTGATGATCACCACTGTTTTCAGTGAATTTAAAACTGTTAATAGAAGAATCGTCGTGTGTTATATATGGATAAAATGGACTGAATACATTAACTTCCTCTTTATCAATAGAATGTCGCACCTTTCCATTTAAAGTTGGAACAACTAAATTGGTGAGGGAAGTGCACCCGTTAAATGTCATTTTTGTTAACACACACGTTTCATTAAACACCAATTCTTTCAATTTGTTACACATTGAAAATGCATTTTCTTTTACTTTAATAACAGATTGTGGGATACTCAAATTTTCCAAATTGTGGCAGTTAGCAAATGCAGATGATCCAATTGATGTTGGGGTGTCTGGAAGAATAACTTTTGTTATTTTCAAACACCCATCTAATAATCCATTTGAAATTTCTTTTATTTTTTTTGGTAGTGTTATTTCGAGTAATTCAGAGCAATTAGAAAACGCGTTATTTTTTATTGAAATGACATTGTCAGCTATTTTCATTGTTTTCATTTTACACTTACTAAACGCGTAGCACTCTATTTCTGTAATAAAAGTGGGTATAAAAACACATGTCGCCTCAATTTTATCTTCAAAACAATATTGTGGTATAGTTACTGCACCGGTTAGAACAAATTTTTTTAATGTATTTTCGCTCCTATTTATTCCAAAGTCAATGTAATTTGTTTCCAATGGTAATCCACACTTCTCTGTAGTTTCCATATTGGGTATCACCAAATCGTCTTTCTTCAACAACACGTTTCTCTCATATTCCATTATGTGTGTTGACTTTGTTCTTTTCGAGTGACCAGTTATAAAGTTGTTTGATTGAAATAGTGAGACACGACTTTCTGGCTCTGTTGGGACATTTTTAGAAATAACATTTTGCTTCGGTTTAACACTAGAATGATCTTTGAGTATAAATGTTGCTAGGCGTCTTGGTGACGTTTTCTTGTCAACGAACAATGAGTCGGTGCTATTCACCTTTTTCTTGATATCAATGCGCAGTATATCACTTTCAGAATGTATATGCTGAACAGTCATTGATGGAAACAATTTTTTGTTATGAGTTGAAATTGGGTTGTTTGTGTATTTATTTAAAATAGTTGAAAATTTTGAAGAGACTTGAATTACATTGAGATAATCACTTTCACTATTAAAGTACTTTGAAACGATAAACATTGAGTTTTGGTCCAAGTGACTTCTCATCATTTTGTATGAAGATTTAAAAAATAAAAGATTTTTAATCCAATTCACTCCTGTTTAAGAACTGCTTTTTAATTATGTGATGTTTTGGAACTTTTCAAATTGTTTTCTTTCGATGATACGTTGAATATATACTAATCAAATATTCAAACAGTTTATTCTAACTTTTTTAATTATTTAATATATTTTTTTCAATATTCCGATTGTTCTATTTCAAATATGACAATTTTTTATGTTGTTATTCTTTATTTATAAATAAAGATGGTAAAAACACCAAAAATTGGAACAAATAAACAGATTTTTAGTCATCATTTTATATTATATATTTTTGTTGTTTTTTAGACCCAACATAATTTTTTTTGTATAAGAAACAAGGAATTATTGAATATTTTTTATTTAAACTTATTACAACATTTGTTATGATAGTTTTGTTTTTCTTTTTATTTAAAACTTCTATTATATGTATATAAAAATATGTATATTAAACAACACAACATATATGCGACCATTTATTTCTTTATCTTTTTAATATCATTATTTTTTAAAACGAATAAAAATAGTCGAAGTGTACTGTTTGTTAAAGTTGTTTGTTTATCTGAAAAAACAATTTGATACTGAAATGATAAACACTTCTTATTGTATCTGTCAATTACAATTGAGAGATCAAACATATTATCAAATTTATGTTTTTAATGTTTACTGATAATATGTATAGATTGTTGGATTTTACATATAAAATATAACAACTTTAATACAAAAACTTCATTTATACTTTAACACAAAGCGCTGAAAATGGTATAATATTTACAATTGTCATAATTGTGATGGTATATAGGATTTTAAAATTTTAAACAACTTTCAATAAACAAAATATAATAACTTCTCAACTCAACAATATGTTACAATTTTTCTATGTTTTAATAGTAATTATTTACAAATCCTCTATATAAAATTTGTACATTAATATTAACATCAAGTAAAACGAATTAATATGTAACACGTAAATTGTTTTATTAACTTATGGATTTTTTAAAAATCAAATTCAGAACAAATGTACAAAAACAAGTCATAAAATAACATTATTCATTCAAGCAAAGACAAAAGAACCGTTGTACTCCTTTGTCTGGTGTATATGTTTGAGGCATAGTAAGTACATTATAAAGTGGGGGAATCACTTTTAAATAGCTTCGTAGTTTCGTTGCAAATTGTGTGCAAAATTGGTCATATTCTGCAGAGGTGTCGACTACCAATTCCGTGGCGCTTTCTATTTCCCTCATCAATAATTCTGAATGTCAATAATATGCAACAATTTATAATACAATAATAGTATATTATATTATAAATATTTTATCAAAAAGAACAAACCCATCACAGGAATTTTAATTTTGCGATCCTCAACATACAACGATAAGGTGTTGGCCTTTTTCCCTTCAAAAATTGCTTCAATTAAAGAGAATTTTTCAACGCAATTTCTTCCAACGCCTTCCCAATCACTCTTATATGTTTCATATGCATTTTTGACAACTGTATAAAGTATATATGAAGAATTGAAATCGCCTGACATCACTGACTCGTCCGCAGTGTCTACGAAAAATAATAAGGCTTTCTTCCTCTTTTGGGAACGCTCAATAACATTTTCAAATACTTTTTGAAGGGCAAACATGTTCTTAAAGTATTTCTCCAAATCACAAGTCTTCTCTGTGAAGTCGCCAAGACACAACTCTCTGAGTAACGCCTGTTGAAACTCAAAGAGTTGGTCGGAGAAGAACTTCGGAGGGAGTTCGATGAGTTGTCGCATTTTGCCGTCGAATTCGATGTCTTCGTTAATTGTCGACAAATCGACAGAAGCGTTTTGCGATGAGTCGAATATGAACATCATACTCTTCCGAGGACTTTTCATTGAGACACAGCGTGGACTTCTCTCTTTCGAATACACTTTACTATTTTTATCTTCGACTTTCTCTGTGATTTCTCGTGACTTCCTCCATGTGTTAAAGAATAGTTTGTCCTTTGATTTCTCCTTTTTAATAACTCGAGGAGTGTAGTACCTGTTTTTATCATTTTTGTCATCGGAGAGCCTTTTTGGACTTTCTTTAAGACTCTCGGAAATGTCGTCCAATTCATTTGGACTTTGTGGACATTTGGGCGACAGAAATCCTAACTCGTCACATTGAGGAATTTTGAGTGGTGGAATTTGTAAATTTAAATTGGCGAGTAAGTCCGACGAGCTCTTTGTTTTCTTTAATATCGTTCTTTTCTTTGGGGTGTATTTCTTCGGAGATTTTTGCTTGAAATAGTCTGTGAATGAGAACGACACACTCAACGAAGTAAGGCTTTGCGTATAATTTTCAGTCTTCTTGTTTTTCTTGAGACTTTTCTTCATCTCATCATTCATGAACTTTCCAAAGAAGTCGGAGAGTAATTGAGAATAGATAGCAACGTCTCTTAATTGTCCCATTTTGTCATGAACATCCTCTAATGCTTCCGCATCTTTCTTTTTCATATACAGTAAATTAAAAATTCCTTCATCGCCAAATATCTCTCTTAATAGAACAAACGCAGAGACTTTAAAATTGTCGTCGAAGTCAATAAATAGTGCATTAAACACCACACTGGGGTGGACCGACAAAATTGTGTTGTTTTCATCAAAGAGTGGTAAAAGCTCTCCGTTTGGATTAAACAAAGAATCGGCATTGAATGTAGCAACATATAAAAACGCAAGGCTTTTTTCGTCCAATGGTAATGGTGTTAATATCTTGTCTAACAATGTGACTTGCAAATGAAATTTTTTAATCCCCTTTAATAACACTTCTAAAATGTCTCTCTTAACTGGTGAAATCGAAAATATCTTCCACTTCACGATTTCATTGGGTGTTGTGTAAAAATTTGAAAGTGGGTCGAAAATAGATACGCTATCTTTTTTGAGTTCCGTTATTAAATCCCTCAAAGAATCCTCGGAAACTATCGCCGTGTTCTTATCGAAAAGAACTTGTGCGTACAATGACGTTGGAGTTTGTTCTTCAACTGTTATTGAATGGTACGACTGCTTCCGATATGACCGCGGCGATGCGTCTAATTTACTCATGAATTTTTAATTCCGATCATGAGTAAAAAATTAAAGAAGTTACTCATGTTTTTTATTGTCTTTAATTCGTTTAATTTCTTCAAAATGGTTACTTATAGTTTGTGGCTTGTTTTCAAAAATTTATATTGAAAGTATGAATGACAAAATAAAAATAAAATAATTACTTTTTAGTATTAGTATGGTTTCGATTAATAGATTTTTTTTGCCTACATTTTTTCGATTTGAAATGCTTTCGATATTTTTACACAACAAAAATTGCTATTAAAATTAGATATTTATAGTTTTTCTTAATATTTTTTTGGAGAAAAATAAAGTTTGTTTTTAATAACATGTTTTGACTATTGTATTGATTTCACTTTAATTTTTATTGAAAATGTTGATTAAAAAAAGAACTTTGATTCATTTCAAATTTCATTCATTTTTAATTTTTGGAAAACATCTTAAAAACATTCAAGAAGTTCAATCCAGACATCAAAAATTTAAACAATTATTAACATTTTAGTACTTTTAATTTGAAATTATTATTAATAAACTATACTATAGTTTTAGTAATTAATTATTAATTAGTTTTATTATTAAAAGTAAGAGTAATTAATGATATTTAAATTTGAAAATTAACGAAGTGAAATAATTGGAACTTACTGAGCAAGAGTTAAAAATTCAGCTCGAGAAATTTTACCATCTCTATTTTTGTCGACGTTTTTCATAAATGAGGAAATACTGCTTCCGTTTGGTGTGACTCCACACGCAGTCAGTAAACGTTCAACTTCTTTACCACTGATGTCCCCACTATGATCTTTATCAATCAAATCAAAAATAACTTCGAAGACCCCACGGAGTGTTTTGCAATCATATTTTTTCATTGTTTCAATAACCGTACAAAATTCTTGGAAATTGATTTTGCCCGAGTTGTCGGTGTCAGCCACACTGAATGCCATTTTTACGGAAGGTTGTTCGGGATCAACATTTATTTTCTTCATACATTTCTTGAACTCGAAAAATGTAATAAGACCACTGTGATCAATGTCAACTTCGTTAAATAATTTGCGCATTTCAAATTGCTTTGGATCGGCCATTTTGAAAGAATTTGTAGATTGAGGTATTTATACCATTGATTTGTAGTTTTGTTGGTTTTTAATTTATTATATAAATATTTTATTTAATGAAAATATTGTTATTGTTCAAATAACTCTTTAATTAAAACACAATGAAAATAAATTATTAAAATTTATCTTTTATTACACCCAATTATAAATTATTATATTTTATAAAACGAAAATAATAAATTATGATACTATTATAATGAACAATAAAAAATCAAAAAATCAAAACCAAAAAAAACTTTTTTATATTGTTCAAATTAAATTATTAATAAATTATATTATTTAATATTCATTCTCAGTAATAAAAAAAATTTTAATTAATTTAAAAATAAATAAATAAAAATATCAGTATTTATTATATACATATTGAAAAAAAACATGAATTTATTCAATGGATTAATCCGATATAAACTTATTTAAAACGAACCAACAAAAAAAAATGGAAACTTAATTTATTAAATAATAAATAAACTACAAACAAAACCACAAGCAATTAAATCTATTTAAAAATAAACAAAAATTATAAAAAGTAGTTTTATTAATTATAATACAACTAGTCATCAAAGTATCATATTTTCACAAAATTTCCAAAACTTGTTATTTTTTGGATTACCAAAAGAACTCAACAAAAGAATAATTCAAACTAGACAAAAGCTATTGAAACAACAAGAACAAGTTAGATGAGTTGTGAAACCAAAAGATTTATTTTTACTTATTATGCCAAATAAAACACTTTCTATAGTCGAAGAAAACTTGGAGAACTGGAAAAAATTTACCAAGAATGTCGAAGCCAAGCTTAGCTGAGTTGATAGCAATGCAAAAAGCGGGCACCCTCCCGAAACAATACACCGAGAAGCCGAAATTTCAATATGGTGTTGATATGTCAAATGGTACAAAAGGGACTCAACAACCAACACCACCACAACCTTCTCCTCCTCAACAACAACCACGCCAAGAACAAGGTTCTCAATTGGCTATGATGAACACTATAGAAACACCCCGAGACACCCCACAACCCACTCCTCAAGTACAACAACCAGTACAACAACAAGCACAACCTGTTCCACAACAACAAAGCGAACCACAACAAAGTGCACCCGCACCAAAAAAGCCGACTCTTGCCGAACTTATTGCAATGCAAAAGGCTGGAAATTTGCCAAAACAATTTACTCAGAAGGAAAAAATACCATATGGAGTCGACTTGTCCAATGGAGTACCAAAAAGCACACCAGTGGAACCACAAAATGCAGAACATAAGCCGAGTCTGACGGAACTGCTCGCTATGCAAAAAGCAGGAAAACTTCCCGACGAGTTCCAGAAACGTGGCGGTGCTGCCGAACGACCTGTTGAACAAAAAGAGAGTTTCATTCATCGAGAAGTTACGCCCATGGAAGCCGAAGTTGCGAAATGGACGAATTCGCGAGTATCTGCCGTGAAAGAAGAGAACTTATACTACAGCGAACGTGAGTTGGGGGTCATGCAAAACATGTTTGAGTTTTTCATGAAGAAAGCGCCCCAGATCTTGACGACGATGTTTTCGAATCGAGACAAGGCCGAAGAGTTAGCAGACGCAGTTCTGAATTTGACGTATGGGAAGCGACTTGCTATGGATTTTGTTTCTATGATGCTGAAAGAGGAATTTGCGACACATAAAGAAGCTCAGTCTTTGTTTAGAGAGAACACGAGTGCGACCAGAGTCGCCAAAAGTTTCTTAGGGAAAGTCGGGAGGAAGTATTTGTTAGACACATATAAGAAGTTTGTGTTGGACATCATCCACTCGGGCGTGTCCTTTGAAATTGATGACCACCGAGAAACAGACCCGGAGAAGCTGAAAGCAAATAAAGAAGCCCTTTTCGCAGCATGCCGGAAACTCTTCGACACGGTGATCAATTCATTCGACTTGTTGCCGCCCGGTGTTAAACTGTTGGCGCGAGTGTTCAATGAGTACGCCGCACAGTACTTTGGCGAGTTATCTGACGACGCGAGAAATAACTTGACGGGGTCGTTTATTATGCTTCGGTATGTCAATCCTGCGATCTTCTCTCCGGAGAAGTATGGGATCGTCGACGACCCAAAAGACATTTCGATGGGTGGGCGAAGAAATTTGATTTTGCTGTCCAAAGTGTTACAGAATCTTTCCAATGGAGTCAGATTTATACAAGAGAAAGAGCCGTATATGATGCCGTTGAATGCACTGTTAGACGAGTACTTAGACAAGTTCAAAAAGTACTTCAGGAAGATAGTGAATGTCGCGAAGAACTTCCCATTTGTGTTAGTAGTTGAAGATACAGCGATCACGGATATGAAGCCAATTGCGTTGTTACACAAAGAGTTGTGTGAACGAGCTGATGAGATAGTTGGTACCTCAGAAAATGAGATCTCACAGGAGTTCTGTAAGTACATGGTGTCCCTTGGAAACTATGGAGATAAGACTGGCAGTGCTGTTGACTTTAGAGCGGAGATGCAAATTGGACTGAAGAAGTTCCTTGTTGAGAACAAGTATGAAGCGGTCTATGCGTCGATCTACACTATGAAAGAAAACAACAATAAGACGGATTATATACTTGTGGTGACACTTTACACTATATTGATATTAACGACGGATTACTCTATTGTCGATGAGATCCACTGTTTTGATATTAAAACGGTCAATTCGATGATGAAGACTTCGGTGGTTATAACTAAAAAGGACGGGAAGAAAATAGAAGGAGAGACGATGCACGGGGATGGCATTATAGTTGCTATGTTACGCGCTTTTAAGTCTTGTTACAACGAAGGAGTCTACGACTTCACTGTGGAGTTACCGCCCCATCGGAAAGCAATAATCGAGAACGTGTTCAGTCTTCAATCGTTCAATAAGTGTGGAGGGTTCTCGGGTATTTACTATGGGAACTGCACATATGACAAAGTTCCTATTAACGAGTCTGTTGAGGCATTTATTGAGTCTTCTAAAGATGACGAGAAGTCGAAGGAATTGCTGTGTAATATGTTTAACACGATGGATCCAAACAACAAAAGTGACTCGTTGAGTTCCAAAGAGTTCCAGCCGGTCTTACGAGCTTTGAAATGCAACAAGTTCTTCACCAAATTGAAAGTTGAACAAACGCCATTGAATCAGTGCAAAGATGCATTAAAAGAGGTCTTTGAACAGAACGAAACGCTTGAAAGTGTGTCACTGAGAGACGTCCAAATTAATAGTGAATGGGAGGAACTCCTTGATATTTATTTGCAGAAGAACAAGATCCATCGGATCAAAGAAATCGACTTGGCGAACAATAAAATAGACGGGAATGCACTGAGGATCCTCGCTAAGATCATCTCGACCTTCCAAGTTGAAAGCGTCAATCTGTCGGGGTCTGTCTCTTCAGAGAAGTCGGTCTCTGCGTTCTTCCAGGAATTCGAAGAAATTGCAAATCAGAAGAAACGCCTTCCTTTGGAAAAGATCGACTTGACGGGTGCCAAGTTTGGGGCAGACGCTATGGAGTTCATGGTGACGAAGTTCTCACAAGTCTTCCCGAACATCAAAGAACTGATATTGGCTGATGCCACTGTACCTAAAGGGGCCACTTTAATTCCCGTCTTGAATTACTTAAACTTCTTAAATGTCGTTGACTTGTCTGGACTTGAAATATCAAAGAAGGCGGAGTGCGACTTACCGAAACTCCTTTTGCCATTAAACAGCTTGAAAGAACTTCACTTACGAAAGTCGGTGATACCTGGAAATGTCATGAAAGACGTGTTACTGAATATCAAAGGGACAGGTGTGGCACTGGACTTACAAGCAATGGATATGGACGAGGAGTGTGTGAACACGCTCTCAGAAACTATTAAACTACTTAAAAGCATCGTGTCGCTTGATATCAGTAAGACGAGTATTAAGGATAAGGGACTGTCTAAAATACTGGAAGGGTTAGTCGATAACACTGTTATTGAGACGTTGAATATATCGAATATCTATACGGGAGATGACACAGATAGTGTGATGAATTCATTGACGAAATACTTGAAGAAGACAACTAGTCTGAAACACTTGACTCTTGTCGGCGGGAGTAAAACAGAACAACAATTTGGATTAAATATGATCCCAATATTAAACGCACTTGTCAAGAACGATAATATAGTCTTCCTTGATATCCAATCACAGGGAATGGGAAATAAAGGAGCATTTGCTTTGGCAAATCTCTTGAAAATTACTAAGACTTTGCAGACACTAAAGTGGGACGAGAACCAAACCGGTATCTTCGGAATACACGCAATAGTCGATTCTATGAGAGTTAATACATCTGTAAAGGAATTACAGTTGCCAATTCTGGATTGCAGAGCACTACAAGTCCAAGGGAAGTTCGGTAATGGAAAGATCATTGGCGAACTTGTCAAGACAGTGCAGAAAAAGTCGGATAGCTAATTGTGAGAGTTTTTTAATAGTTTTAATAGTATTGAATAGATATTTTATTGAACTATTTTCAAATTATTAAGGTATTAAAAATCAATAACATTTTTTTATTTCTTTAAATAAAAAATGTTATTTCAGTTGATTTTTTTTCAAAAAATTAGAGTCATTTTTTTATGGTTGTTATTTATTAGTATTAAATTATTAGTCTGATATAATATAGTTATAAATCATTTTTATTAATATCATTAAAATATATTAATTATATTACTATCAAAAACTATTGAAATGAGTTGAAAAATGACTTTTGTTTTGAATTCTAATTAAATAAAAGAATGAAGAACTCAACTCAATTGATCCATGTCATATCCAAGTAATTTTAATCAAAATCCACAAATATCTTGGAGTACACCGCAAAATTTCCCACATCAATATCCAATTACTCAAACAACATGCCAATATCCTCAACAAGCATCATCTCAAGAATCAAATGACATGAAAGCAATCAAAGAACTTTATACTTATTTGAATCAACAAAACGCGTCTTTCTTTTCGTCTAATATTCCCGATTTTGTGGAGAAAATCAAACAATTTTACATTGTTGTATGTCAAGAAATCCATGACAATGGTAATACTATTAATCAACTTAAGCAAAGTGCAATTGATTATCCAAACGAAATAAATCGACTTAAAGAAGAAAACCAAAATAAAGACATAGACATAAAGCAACTCAATGACTCTTTAATTCAATTTCAAACGAACGATTTGACTCAAAGAGAAACAATAAAATCACTCGAAGATGATATGAAACAAAAAGACGACGAACTTGCAAGTGAGAAACGTAAGTTGGATTCCATTAAAATGTCTTTTTCTTCTTTTATGGCGTCGACTGAAAAGTACATTTCAAAACTCGAAAAAACGATTTCGGCTCTACGAACTGAATTGGCTGATGAACGAAATAAACAAGAAGAACGAAACTATGAAAACACTTCACAAAATGATTTGACACGGAAATTGGAAATGTTAACAACCCTCCTCAAAGTTAACGAACAAAAGAACACACTAAATCAGTCACAACAAACGCAAAGTATCAGCACTTTGATTAGCACAAAAGACTCTAAAATTACTGAATTGCAAAAGACTAATGAACAATTAACAAATTCTCTTCAGAGCTGTCAACAACATTTAAGTTGTGTTCAAGACGACAAAACACACCTAGAAAAGAAAGTTTCTCAACTCGAAACTGAACTTCAAAGTCTTAAAAATGCTCATCAAAAAGAAAAGAAAATTGAGACAAAAAACAACTCAAAAAGTGACTTAAAACAAGACCAAAACTCATCATCACAAGAAATCCAAATTCAAGACAACGCTGAAAGCCAAATTCAAACCCACAAACTCGCTGTCCCTCTTCTTCTCTTTCATAATGGCGGGAATTTTAATATCGATATAGACAATCAGAGTGTTACATTGTCAATCGAAAAGGGAAGTCAAGAACCTCTTTTATTTGATATTCCAACTCAAAGTGGAAAAGTCCGTTTAGAAGTTTCAAGTGACAAAATCGAGAACTTGAGAAGAGACAATTACGACTTGTATTACACAGTCTTCTTAAATGAACAGTTCAAAGACCAAAGTGTCCAACTCCAGATCTCTGTGTTGGATTTCAATAACACTTTAAACGTCCAAGCTAAAGAGAATTCCACATGGACCGTTGGAGACTTTGGGTTGAACATTGGAAACACAGGAAAGCGTGGGACCCTCTACCTTACAATTCAATTTGTGTGACCAATTGATTAATATATAAAAACGTTGTATTTGAAGAATAGTTTTATTTATAGAAATAAATTGAACAAAGAATAGTAACTTGAATTAGAAAGTAACTATAATTGAGTTGTTATTTTTGAGCGTCTCTCTGGGTTGTTATATTATTATACTCACGTTTACCTTCTTTATAAGTCGAAGTTGTATAGTCGACTTCATACACTATAAGTCGCTTATAAAAGTCTTCCTTTTCAAAGGCATTGTCACCAGGAAAATAGAGATAGAGTGTTTGTAAATTAGTGAAGAATGGACGAGTCTTATTAGTGAGAGGGAATGGATTATAGTGGAACTTTTTGAAGAGGTCTCCAAACTTTTTGCAGACCAAGGTTGTGTTGTACAACTCATCAAAGTCTTCAAAATATGTTGAAACGATCATCATGGAGTACCCATCTAATTTTGCCATAATAAAAAAATTAAGTTTCAGAGTTCTTCACACAAGGTATAACGCAAAACATCTAAAACACACAAATTAACAAGTAGAATAATAGCCCTCAAGCAATTTTACAACTTCCCCAATTTCAACTCTTTGATTCATGTCTTGTCGCCAACATTTACTGGCTATCTGGTAGATCTCGTCTTCCATATTCCCGGGCTTTTGCAAACGATTCCCGTTACTTACAAACTCTGCTATATTCCATGCGTATGGGAACATAGCGACTGGGTAAGCCTCACGCCACCCAAAGCACTCGAATAACGTTATTCCGAAGGAGTAGATATCTGCACTCTTTTTGTACTTCTCTTTCAATAAGATTTCAGGCGCCATATAAATAGGAGTACCAACGCCTTTAGTGAATGTCATATTAGTCATCAGCATATTAATGTTTCTGCTTGTCCCGAAGTCGGTCAGTTTAGCGTTAGCGATAAGGTTATATTCCAGTGACACTAATAAGATATTATCTGGTTTAACATCTCTGTGTAAGATCCCATTTGAGTGTAAATACTGAATTCCTCTTGAAGCATCTATACATATCTTAATCTTCATTTGTTTGGATATTTTGGTTTCACTCTCTTTGAGTATAAAATCCTTCAAGCTGCCATATTCAGCATATTCAGTGACTAAACAGAACTCGCTCTTAATCACACACGCACCATAAAAGTGGATGATATAGTCACATCGGAATTTGTCGAGCATCGACATCTCGTTCTCAAACTCACCAAGAAATTCTTGTGTGCTGTAGATCTCTTTCATCTTCTTGATCGCTACTAAACTCCCTCGAAATCTCCCTTTGTAGACAACACCAAACCCGCCTTCCCCTATTTTTTTCTCGCGAAGGATCTCGTCGGGGTCCAAATACGTCGAGACCTCCGTCTCAAACGTCAGTGGAAATTCAACAGAAAACGTCTCTCCACTTTTTAAGACCAAAATTGTCACATTAATGAAGTCGGCGATTTTGCAGGTGCATCTTGGCTTCACAAAAGCTTCGAACTCGCACGCTTCATCCTTTCGCAGTGTAATAATTTGGGGAAGTGTTTTGAGTTGGTACTTTATTGCTGTTGATTTGGTGACGATTTGAAGCTTAACAGTGAAAGCGTTTTTATTACCAAAACAGATCAACTCGCGGGTGTAATCCCCCACTTTAATATTCTCATCGTCGTCATTGAAACTCAATTTCTTCTTATTTGAAAATATCCCTGGCGATATGAAATTGTTGAAATTGACATTCGAACGACTCATCTTGAATACACACACACTCTTCTCGCGACGGTGAGTCTGGTACTCTTTAATTAAGTAATTCACTAACTTCAGAACAAAGAATAAAAGAATGGACACAACAACTAGAGTCAACAACACTACTAATAGGATGACCCACCACACTGCATGTGTCGCACATAACGTCCCCGACTCATCCACACTATACCAGAAACTACATTTGGTACATTTGGAGTCTTCTACTTTTAAACACTCGGACACGTTACTCATCAAGAGACATGTATGCGTCTTGTCGTTGTACACATCGAGTGGATCACAACTCGTACACACGACATTTTCTATACAAGTCTTACAAGAAGAGGAACACACTTGGCATTCTCTAGTAATGAGTATCATTCATTGTCACACAAAAAGTCGAACAAACCGATGACTCAAATAATACCCAGCAATACACAATAAACACCCCCGATCAGTTGTAATGTCACCAGCACACCCATACGTCCCATTCTTGGATTTACACTCATTGGTCTCACTCATCCAATAATCTTTATTACAACTAAGACATGACTTGTTATTCAAACACGTCTCACACTCTTCGGAACATAACTCACAGTCAAACCCAACTCGGAAATATCCATCTTTGCACTGCGCACATCCCCCATTGACAGAAAACGTTTTGCATTTCCCCTCTAAATTGCCATTTTGTTTACAAACCCCGTTCGAGACAAACATCCCCCCTGGACAGGTAAGACAAAAATTCTTTGCAATACAAGTGGTGCATTTTTCGTCACACGTTTCACATGTTAAATCCGGTGTGATGTAATACCCTTGTTTACAGGAAAGACACCCAATTTCACTTGGAATGCGACAGGAATCTTCTATTGGGTCTTGTGTGCAGGTTTTGGTTGTTGTCAAATTGTAGTTAGGAAAGCATTGCTTGCAGGAGTCGAGTGAACGGATATCACAATTCTCGAGAGGGGACATACACTTATCACCACTCGATATTTCAGACATTCCACAAAAGCAGAAATTCAATGAAATGGACGTGCACACACTCTCCACTATGCATTTCCCATTTTTCAATATCGTCTTCGCATCGCACTGCAAGCAACTTTCACTGTTACATTCAATGCAATCGGAAAACAGTGAACTGCATTCCACACACATTGAATCCTTGCCACAGTACTTTGGGTCACATGAAATTGCTGCAAAACTGGGGTTTAGTATCGTTGTCTTGTTTTGTAACACACAGGCCGTTCCATTGTACATATAATTGTGATCACACAAGTCACAATTGTCAAAGTAAGTGCACTCCGCGCAATTAGGAATGCAATTCCCGCACTTTCCCTGGATGAGAAAATAGCCAGGCAGACATTTAATACACTTGCTCAAGATATACGACGCACAACAATCTATTTCCGCACACGCCGATTTACCATTAAAAATGTAGACACCCGTATTCCTTTGACATAACTCACACGAATTCGAAATTTTACATTGAGAACACTTTAAACCGCATTTCTTGCAAGAGTCCGTCGCTACGTCGTAATAATAGGCGTTCCCACACATGTGGCATTTGCCATTTAAATACGTCTCGCAGTTCAAGAGCGAACATTTCCCTAACACGTCATTGTAAAGACATTCACACGTTCCTGAAGTCGTCATCGAATAATTGTCGTTGCACGACAAACACGTCGAAGCGAGGAGTGGAGCCGCACTTGTGTTATATGTCAGATACGAAACTATATGTAAATAGAATTATAATAAATATACCATACTTGTATAGTAACAACAAACCGTCACACGTTCTCACATTAGTCGTTGTCTTCCGAGTCGGGCGCGTGAGTAAAATCTGTTGGTAATTCTTTTGAAAAGAATAAACAGGCATTGTGTCCGAGACTTCATACACGACGACTTCCCCGTTGTTATTTAAAAATGTTGATAACTTGAATGGACCCCCCGAGAGAGATGTGTATTTCATGATCAAAGTTTCTTGGTTGAAGATTTGAATGACGTTGTTATAGTCAAATTTTTCGATGTTTATAAAATTGCCGATTTTGGTTTTGACTGAAATTGTGTACTGACTTGGCACGGTATGTATGGAGTAATTGCCATTGACCAAATCGAACACGTCGTAGTCGTCTGCAGTGTCTTTGTAAATCTCCTTCTTCAAATTTGCACGTGTTTTCCCGTCACTTGCGCACGTGGGTTTAAACCCGCTGCTTGGAAAGAAAAAGTAGATGAACGTGTTCTTCGCACACTCTTTAAACTCGACAAGACCGGCTTTGAGTGTTTGAAACTCGATTTGTGAAGGGTCTGCTGTTGAGAACAAATATCTGGGTAGACTTTCTGAAGGGTTCATTGTGATGAGGAAAAGTCCTTTAAAGACGACATTGGTGTGTTCGTTGTTTTCTTTATTCTCATTTGATGTATTTGGAGTGTCTGTGTTAATTATATCGCTCTCGTTCTCGTTCCTTTTGAGTGTCAAAAGAAATTTTTGTTCCTCGGAATTCATGTGTTTTGTGCTCATAATATTTCCTTTTAAAAATTCTTGTGTCTTTGCATTTTGCGATTTAAAAAAATCTTCAATAGCATCGCCCTTTTCTTTATTTTTAATACTTTTAATACTTTTAATAAGTTCGAGGTTATCAAACGATTTCTGATTTTTATCTTCAAGTTTTGTTATTTTCTTCTTTAAGTTGTTTGTGTGTTTTGTGTTCAAGACGTGTTGCGTAATATCGTCGTCTCTAACAACTTCCTCATCTTTGGAGACATATACTATTTTCACTTTCTCATTGCCGCTGTTTACAATTTCAAGAGGCAAATGTCTTGGGTTGAAATTGACTTGAAACATG